TTACGTCCGTTAATCTGGTTCACAACCATAATTTACGAGGCTCTAGTTCTAAACAATTCGTCCCTAGACCTCAGACTGAGGCTCTCAAAAAAAGCTTTTATCGGGGAACTGTTCTGTGGAATAGCTTGCCTGTGGAAGCGATTAATGTTAAATCAATTGCTGAATATAAGTCTCATATAGCTTAGTTTAAAAATTACTTCTTTAATTGTATATATTTAATTGTATTAATCTAATTATAGGCTACTTACTTAATTGTTTTTATTATAGCTATAGCTATCTACATATATTTGGTAGTTTTGCACGGCTCCAGGGAAGAGCACACTATGTGAATTGGACTCCGTGTTTTTAAATAAAATCCTAATAATAATAATAATAAAAAGGAGAAATTTCGTAGCGTCAAATTACAACGACCGAAAACGCGGGGTAGACCTCCGAAACACTACCATCCTCTGCTGCAGAAAGAGAAAGAATTAGAAACAGTGGTGCGACAGATCCTCCCGAAAGAAGTTGCTGATGCCATATGCCCGAAAGGTCACGTCTGGCTCAACTGTACGGCCTACCCAAGACCCATAAACCAAAATTAGCTATGCGTCCCATTCTCTCTGCCACTGGAACCTACAACTTTATGCTAGCGAAGTGGTTAGATGAGAAACTAAAACCAATTTCCATCAACGAATTTACTGTTTCTGATCCTCTACGATTCTCCGAAGAGTTACGCAAGAAAGAGATTGTTGACGGCGAAATTCTTGTGTCGTATGATGTCTCCTCGCTGTTCACTAACGTTCCAGTTGATGAGACAATTGAAATTCTTGTCGAGAGAGCTTTTCATAAGGAATGGTTTAACTACAAATACAACCTAGCGCTGAAAGAATCGGATCTTCGCGCCTTGTTGAACATAGCCGTGAAAAACCAACTATTTCAACTGGACGGAAAGCTATACGAGCAGACCGACGGTGTAGCAATGGGATCGCCACTCGGGCCTTTAATGGCAAATACCTTCATGTGCTCCATCGAGGAGAAGCTGGTCAACAGCATGGATATGCCATCTTTTTACCATCGTTTTGTTGACGACACGATAACATCTCAACGTAGTTTGGCTACAGCGGAAGACTTTCTCGACACTCTGAACAGTTGTCACGAGTCTTTAAATCTCACGATGGAATGCGAAGTCGATGGAAAGTTGCCCTTTCTCGGGATGGAACCCATCAGAAATGATGACCACCTTGAAACGGAAGTTTACGTGAAACCGACCAACACTGGTCTCCTTCTACACTACCAGAGTCACGTGGATCGAAGATACAAACGTTCACTTATAACTACTATGTTAAACCGTGCATTCCGTTTGTCGTCATTCATGGGAACACTTTGTCGAGGAATGTGAGCGTTTGAAGAACGTTTTCGTCCATCTCAAATATCCACTTGGACTTGTTGATTCGGTAATATCGGGGTTTGTCGACAAGCAGTACGAGGAGGTGAAGGAAACATCAACGAAACAGCAAGAAAACGTGGTGTGCCTTATCTTGCCGTTTAAAGATCAAAAATCGGCCAATATTGTGCGAAGACAACTCACGGGTCTTGGATCGTTGATAGGGAAAGCTCTACGACCGGTTTTCACAAGCAGAAAGGTTCACGATGATGTTAAAGTACAGGAACTGAAGCCGCCCCTTGTGAATCATCAATGCGTTGTTTACAAATTTAAATGTGATCTGTGCGGTGCAGATTATGTTGGCTATACTTGTCGACACCTACATCAACGCATTGATGAACACAGGGGATCAGTGGTAGGAATCCATATGCGTGATAATCATGGAGAGAGCTCATCAAGGATTGAAAACTGCTTTTCGATTCTGCGCAAGTGTCGAGAGAAGTACGAGTGCCTTCTCTACGAGATGCTTTACATTAGGGAACTGAACTCGATACGTTCTAAGCTTTTTGCTTAATATTAATTTGTTAATCTTGTTTGTTGTGTTTATCTTATGTGTAAATAGTTAAATGTTTTTATTGTTTGTTTTTAATATTTTAGTATTTTTTGTCTTGCGCATTTAGTAAAAATTCTGCATGCTTGCGCAATTATTTGTTTACGTGACACGAACACGCGGACCGTTATCATTAAAGCAAAACACGAATAATTCTTATTTTTAACTTGAAAATGATGCAAGAAGCATCGAAACGTCGTTGTAATAAAATAAAATTAATATCGCTATAATTTGTTTCAAAGTTAATTTCATATTAATATAGCCTTCTAACATTATAAATGCATAAGTATTGCTTGAAAAAGCATTCATCAAAGTTGAACGTAAAGTATAGCACAAGCTGTGATTGTTGTAATCTACTATAATAAACCATAAAGGTGAGTTGTTTCACGAGTTTTGATCTACCACCAGTAGATCAGAATTATTTACCCTGATAAGCGACTCAACATCCGCGCTTTTTTGATTCAGCCCAAATACCGTTGCTTGCAAGTTGCAACTAAGGTGGACAGTCGTAGATAAAAACATTGCCTATATTAGTGTGAGAATCTTCAATGTTTGTCAAGAACACTTGACAGGTTTTAATCTGATCAGCCAATCACGTTTAACTGGCTCCAAGTTGATTACATGATCATCACAAACATTGAAGTTTCTCGGTAAAAACATTGTACTTTGTCATGAGAATAGACAATGTTTTATTTACGACTGTTAATTCATCCTTAATAATAGTTGCAAGCGACGGTATTGAAGCGAATCGTTTGTTTGTCTGGTATAAATTTGCATAGTGTTTGCGTCAAGAGACCATCGCATCTCACGGGACAGGTAGTCCAGGGACGTCTCTGTGTCAAGGATAGATCTACTTTCAAAAGCATTGAGATATAAAAGTCGATCTCCCTCAGCAAGAATCTGATCTACGTTTAATTTAGATGCGGTCCACTGTTGGATCGGCAAAGTCTGAGCATATAATAACGCTGAAAAACTCATAAAAGAACATTGTCTTCCGCGTGAAATGTCACTATAAAACCGTTCGCTGCCTTGATGAATGCTTCCAGCAACAAATAAATTTAAATTTGACATGATTTCAATAAAAAAAACTTACCTAGTTCTTGCCTTCTAGCTACAACTTTTCGAACGTAAACACATGCAACATTAATATGACTAATATATAATTAACCCTGTTCTAATCATCACTAATGATGAAACCGCTGCACATACATACGCGTGCTCAAAATCATCCTGACAAACAAAAATCGCACAAATCGAGATATATGTCAAGAATAGGGGGCTGCTCGCCGGCACTCGCGCAAATTAAAAATGCAATACATTTGACCTTAATAATTTTCGTATTGTTGGTTTTCTCTTTTTCGGCCGCATACCAGTGAATTCGTCTCACTTTTCTCTTTATTTTGTTAGTAGTTTGAGCCCAAAATATTATATTTTGAAGGTTTTAATGAGCAGTTTTGATAAGCGAAATTGTATTGTTGACAAATCGCTCAAAATTATTAA